ACAGTAATCTTCAAAATACCGAGGTGACGTCATACTATTCAACAAATATTTTAAATTAGACTTCCTTTAAGTGAATCGAAACATTACAGAGCTAAAAAGTTCTTCAATTCCTGCCGACTTTATTAAATCGGAAAATGTAAGCCAGTATAATGAAGTTACCTCCACTGCTTAACAGACACTGAGATTGAAAAAAAAGTTCCGGCGCTGGCCTATAAACGTCTAGATCTCTTTGGTGTTAGTTTGTGCCGTCACTTAGCAAGAGCATGCTGACTGTAATTAAATCCCCCTTCTTCGGCTTGATATGTTCAGTGCTAGCGAACAATCGAGCATGAAAGGCACTGTTTTCCTTGTATCACTACGCGGCGGAAGCCTCGAGGCGAGGTGACTGTATTTTGAAACCCTTTCCCAAACTGGATTTATCTCTTCAGTGCGATGCGTTCAGGGCGTGTAAATGTTGTTATTATTTGCATAATTATCGTAATTTCAGATTTCATGGGATAATTTCAAACCATTAACATTTTGTTTTGATATCTGGCATTTTTCTTTAATGTGTAATATCGGAATGGGGATGAAACGCGCGATACGAACAGGTCTGTATACACGGATCATCTGATCAGTGGTCCGGCAGTAATTCCGCGTTACGTAAATACGTCTGTTCATTCTGTCTCGCATGACCAGGAGCCACCTGAAGGTCCTTAAGTAGATATAACCACCCTACCATCTCTACACAGAGCCGGCACTTCCGGGTACTGACACAATAGAAGGACGATTTCAAGTTGATACACATACTCTCTATTATGTGTTGACTTTAGAAGAACTTCCTTTTTCTCAAGCAGTGGCATCTTCTTTTGATGGTTCGAACATAATATTGTATTCAAACTTTATTATTCAGTGATTCAATCACGTCAGGACGGAGGTTATAACAAAAGGGCATCTTGCACTGTATCCATGTTTTTGAAGTAAAACCACGTCTACGACATGACTACGGGTGAACCACTGGACTACCTTACCTTACCGTTCCTATACTGGACAAAAGAAGTTAGGGATATTGGTATTTTCATGATTGATATTTTATCAGTGTGACAATGAATAAATAGATCATTATTCATAATTTCAAAATTTGCATATATCCTTATCCTTATATATATGTTAAGCAAGATTCAAATCTGGTAACACTAGTCAATATGGATTCAGTAAGCACTATATTATATCGGCGTGTCAATTTACCGTGGGATTAACAAGGGAGAATCTGGGAGAGTGGGTGAGTTTTAGTTTTACGCTGCCTTTAGCATTATTTAGCGGGTGACACCAGAAATGTTCTTTACACATTGTACCCATGTGGGGAATCGAACCCTGTTCTTCAGCATGGCGAGCGAATGCTTTAACCACTAGGCTACCCCATCGCCCCTATGAATATGGGATTCGAACTGAGAATTAAAGGTTTCACCCCCTCGGTATGACACTACTCGGCAACGCGAATTGTGTTGCCTTAAGCAATACAACTGTAGCTGAAGCTTGTAACTCTGTCAGTTGTATAAAACCAGACCTAGCTACCAAGGCTTGACCTTAAGTGTGGATGGGTCTCTGTGATTTAGCGGTGGGTAACTAATCATTGGGTCAGTGTTATTCAGTCAGCACTTACACAACCCTTTATTCCAGTCCATTCCTGAAATTAAGACCAGGAAACAATAATATTTATTAGTCGCAGTTGTCTTGGAGCAGAAACTGCCAATTTAATCTCTCAAATTGTTCCACAAACTAAACAGAACACCTAAATGTATTATTGTATAGTTCTAATTAAAGATTTTAAATTTCAAGCATAGTCCTTGCACTTCAGAAGACATTTGAGAACGCCTTTGAATGTCTTGTCACTCAAATTAACAACAAAGTGAGGAGGATCTTAAGAAAATATTCTATCATCTCGTGACTGAATAGAAAAATGTTATAGCTGGGTTTTTTCCAACATGCAATTGAATTTGCTTGCTTCAGCATCAATTATTTAAGTTGAAATGATTCTCATACCGCATCGTCGACGTAACAGCCTCACATTTCAAAGTTATTGTACAATCTGGCATCACTTCCTTGTCGCCTGTGTACGACTATACGCGGTGCGGTGAAACATCGCTCGTTACAGATGAATTAGACATGAGGAGACGACTCACCTGGAGGCAGGTATATTCAGACGCTATCTCTATGTCGTTTATCATTGCCCGCATATGCCACCCCGGGGACAAGTTCACTGAGACGCAGGTATTACCTTACAAGTAGTGTAAGCAATGTTTTTAATGTAGTAACTGCCGTAAACAACGGTTATTAGTTGTGTTGTACTCAAAAACACAACTCAACCTTAGAGTTGATCTCCAGTAACCTATGCTTGTCATGAGAGGCGACTAACGGGATCGGATGGTTAGGCTCGCTGACTTGGTTAACACACGTCATCGTATCCCAGTTGGATAGATCAGTGCTCATGCTGTTGATTCCTTGATTGTCTGGTCCAGACCATTCTCTTCCCACAGAGATTACTCAAGTCATATCTTCCCTCGTAGACTTGATTACTTTCTGCGGCATTAATCAACAAACAAAAAACATAATTCTTCTTCCATGACTATCATATACAGGTTCTTTAAAACTCATCCTCGCCACAGTGAGTTTATGTTTTGAGAGGTGAGTGAGTGAGTTGGGTTCAACGCTTTTACATTTCACGTAGTCTGTCTCACAGTCCCTGAACCACATTATTTTCCCTACTGCCAAGCCCTCTCTGCAGTGCTAAAGCCCTAAATAAAGCAAGTCTAGATTTCCTCAGGTTCTGAATCTCTGGTCTCCCGGGGCTCCTTTTCAATTTAAATGGGCTTGTTTGTTACTATCAACATTATATATATTCAGAGACTAAGCATCCGTCTACACTTCACGCTGCAAAGCCAATAGCGTCACAATAGACAGCTGATTGACATGAAGCATTATCGAATAATATCATTCAAAACAAACGTAATTTGAAGAATTTCGAAAGGTTACACAAAGTATATGATCTGGACTCACGGCAGTGGGACATCAAAGCCTCCACCGAGTGAGTAGGTACATGCTACATCTGTTACCAGGGTTACAGTAATGCAATACTCACAAACGGATTGGAGGCAGAAATGATCGTGTTTGGCAGTTTGACTCCTGAGAGTTTCTAGGACTTCAGCCCTGACCCACAACGAAGCACATGGCATACATGTGGTCTCACCCTAGGGATATTTGTTCAAAATTGCCTCTGTGCACCCAGCAGCAAATGGGTACCAGGTGAGATAAGTCATGTGACTATTAACCGTTTCGTGCCCAGGAAGCTTTGGTTATCCGGGGTAATAATTCAACGCTTCTGAGCAGTGCTACGTTGAAAATAAGCGCTACACTATGCTACGCTACACTACACTACACTACACTACACTACACTACACTACACTACACTACACTACACTACACTACACTACACTACACTACACTACACTACACTACACTACACTACACTACCACTACCACTACCACTTCACTACGCTACATTACACTACACTACACTACGCTTCACTACACTACACTACGCTACACTACACTACACTACAACCTTTCATCACATGACAGGACCCTCATATTCCCTGTAAGGAACGTTGAAATTAACATCTGGGGTCCTTTGACCCCGTTTTGGCAGGTCACGGTAAAACCCTGCGTTACAGAAGGAGACTGCCTGTGAAGCTTACCGGGAAATGTCATTCTGATTGATGAGAACAGGTACATCTCCATTTAGCGTTTCGGGGTTTTCTGCGGGAGATACCAGGAATGGAATCACGTGGAATGTTGTGAAATGATAATACTACGATATTCGGAAACCGCAGCGCCGCCTATAACGCCTTGGGGAGACTTTGAGCTGCAGTGGTTTATACATTAGTGTGTATAGACTAATTCATTAGGAGATACCTACAGGCGATTCCACACTTTTTTGTGATTAATACATCTGACCTGAGTTGACAATAAAGATTTGCGAACACCCCACGTCTCAATCTGTCTTGGGCATAAGCTGAACAGAGTTCTGCGTCAATGGTCATCAACTGGTCTCTCTTGAACATGGTGCCTCGGCAAGTTCTGGAGCTCACGGATTTTGAGTTCGATCAGATCTTACCGAGATCAGTTCTGTGGCAGGTTAGACTAACGACTAGTCTCTGGACATATACAATTTTGATGCAAACAAATAACGCCAAAAAATATGCTGGAGCCCAAGTAAGATGGGAGAGTGAGAAGGATAATCTAGACTTGCTTCACTTATGGATTTTTGCATTACAGAAGGGGATTGGCAGAATGGAAATTATATCATTCAATGGCTAGTAGGCACACTAGCCCCTAGTCAGTGGTGAGGCCACCCATCAACGTACACGAGGGACCGCAAAGGATAGTCTCTGAATGAGGTCTCGCCCGAAGTCGTGTCAATCACAGCTTGTCAAATCCGCTTTCTCCGTAATGCAGAGTGATGGCCCTTTCGGCATCAAGTTAGCGTTGTGTATATTTGCACCGAAACTCGTTACTAGGTATAGCTAGTTATAAGTGATAATATGTTAAATCGGGCTGACACACAATTCCGGAAATTGTATACCGTTCCGGGTAAACGGAACAATGCGTGAAAAATGATGATGATGATGATAATAACTTAAATACCACGTAGCTGTCAATCTGATAAAATAGAATATTGTTTACGGTACTATTTGTAACTGGTTAATTGTGAAAATTCTGGTATCACTAGGAAGATTTTCGAATTTACTAACAAAAAGGCAACAATATCTGAAGAAATTGTGGAGCAACAAACCAAACCTACTTTTTGAATTGACACGAGATATATATTTGTTTCATGTCTTTTTACTTTGGATATCGACGCTGCTCTTCTCTAATGCTATTTGTTCAAGTACTTAACTGATTTCACCTGTTGGAAAACAAACAATTTACACGTGTTCTACACAATAGATGGAAGAGGAAAGTTCTGAAAATAGGTTTTAATTCAGTTTGTGACTTCACTGCTTGTTGTCGGGTCTAGAAAGGCATCTCAAGTGCAGACGTGTGTATGTTCGTTGATACCTGAAACAAAAAAAGTTAGTAATTGAACGAGTAAGTGAGTAAATGAATAGATGGTTGGAAAATAGGTCGGAAGTTTACAAATTTGTATAAGATAGAGAGTGAGGAGAGAGAGAGGGTGAGGAGAGAGAGAGGGGTGGAGGGGAGAGTCAGAGAGAGAGAGAGAGAGGAGAGAGAGAGGAAGGGACAGAGAGAGGAGGAAGGAAGGGGAGTTAGAGAAAGGCATAGCGAGTTATCCTACCTGGGTGACTTCTGACTGGTTCTTCCTCTGGTTGGCCCCTCATCCACACACAGCGTGAGTCGCCAAGCTCGTGCCCGTTTGTCCAGCCGTCTCCGTCCGAATCCTTGAAGCAAAGCTCAGGCGTCCATTTCAACCCGGCCTCCTTGAAGTCCTGCAACAGCAATCCAACTGCACATCCTCAAATTTTGATACCCCCAACTTCAGGGATCGTCTTCCTACGTCCCATCCTGATACTCCCAACATCAGGGGTCCCCTGTCCACGTCCCATCCTGATACTCCCAACATCAGAAGTCCCCTTTCCACGACACATCCTGATACTCCCAGCATCAGGGGTCGCCTGTCCACATCACATCCTGATACTCCCAAAATCAGGGGTCGGCTGTCCACGTCACATCCTGATACTCCCAACATCAGGGGTCGGCTGTCCACGTCACATCCTGATACTCCCAACATCAAGGGTCGGCTGTCCACGTCACATTTTGATACTCCCAACATCAGGGATCGCCTGTCCACGTCACATCCTGATACTCCCAACATCAGGGCCCCCCTGTCAACGTCAGATCCTGATACTCCCAACATCAAGGGTAGGCTGTCCACGTCACATCCTGATACTCCCAACATCAAGGGTCGGCTGTCCACGTCACATCCTGATACTCCCAACATCAGGGCCCCCCTGTCAACGTCAGATCCTGATACTCCCAACATCAGGGCCCCCCTGTCAACGTCACATCCTGATACTCCCAACATCAAGGGTCGGCTGTCCACGTCACATCCTGATACTCCCAACATCAAGGGTCGGCTGTCCACGTCACATCCTGATAATCCCAACATCAGGGGTCGGCTGTCCACGTCACATCCTGATACTCCCAACATCAGGGGTCGGCTGTCCACGTCACATCCTGATACTCCCAAAATCAGGGGTCGGCTGTCCACGTCACATCCTGATACTCCCAAAATCAGGGGTCGGCTGTCCACGTCACATCCTGATACTCCCAACATCAGGGCCCCCTGTCAACGTCAGATCCTGATACTCCCAACATCAGGGCCCCCCCTGTCAACGTCACATCCTGATACTCCCAACATCAAGGTCGGCTGTCCACGTCACATCCTGATACTCCCAACATCAAGGGCCGGCTGTCCACGTCAGATCCTGATAATCCCAACATCAGGGGTCGGCTGTCCACGTCACATCCTGATACTCCCAACATCAGGGGTCGGCTGTCCACGTCACATCCTGATACTCCCAAAATCAGGGGGTCGGCTGTCCACGTCACATCCTGATACTCCCAAAATCAGGGGTCGGCTGTCCACGTCATCCTGATATCCTGATACATCCCAACAGGGGTCGGCTGTCCACGTCACATCCTGATACTCCCAACATCAGGGGTCGGCTGTCCACGTCACATCCTGATACTCCCAAAATCAGGGGTCGGCTGTCCACGTCACATCCTGATAATCCCAAAATCAGGGGTCGGCTGTCCACGTCACATCCTGATAATCCCAAAATCAGGGGTCGGCTGTCCACGTCACATCCTGATACTCCCAACATCAGGGGTCGGCTGTCCACGTCACATCCTGATACTCCCAACATCAGGGGTCGGCTGTCCACGTCACATCCTGATACTCCCAAAATCAGGGGTCGGCTGTCCACGTCACATCCTAATACTCCCAACATCAGGGGTCGGCTGTCCACGTCACATCCTGATACTCCCAAAATCAGGGGTCGGCTGTCCACGTCACATCCTGATACTCCCAAAATCAGGGGTCGGCTGTCCACGTCACATCCTGATACTCCCAACATCAGGGCCCCCCTGTCCACGTCACATCATCATATGTCCTGCAGCAGAGGACACCCCGTATTTAAAATGGTTTACTAGAGACTGTATGGGAGCACCCCGTTTTTACCATGCTTGACTTGAGACTATTTGAGGACACCCAGGTATTAACCATGCTTAAGTGGCGATTGAGAGCACCCCGTATTTAAAATGGTTGACTAGAGACTGTATGGGAGCACCCCGTTTTTACCATGCTTGACTTGAGACTATTTGAGGACACCCAGGTATTAACCATGCTTACGTGGCGATTGAGGGCACCCCGTATTTAAAATGGTTGACTAGAGACTGTATGGGAGCACCCCGTTTTTACCATGCTTGACTTGAGACTGTTTGAGGACACCCAGGTATTAACCATGCTTAAGTGGCGATTGAGAGCACCCCGTATTTAAAATGGTTGACTAGAGACTGTATGGGAGCACCCCGTTTTTACCATGCTTGACTTGAGACTGTTTGAGGACACCCAGGTATTAACCATGCTTAATTGGCGATTGAGGGCACCCCGTATTTAAAATGGTTGACTAGAGACTGTATGGGAGCACCCCGTTTTTACCATGCTTGACTTGAGACTGTTTGAGGACACCCAGGTATTAACCATGCTTAAGTGGCGATTGAGGGCACCCCGTATTTAAAATGGTTGACTAGAGACTGTATGAGAGCACCCCGTTTTTACCATGCTTGACTTGAGACTATTTGAGGACACCCAGGTATTAACCATGCTTAAGTGGCGATTGAGGCAACCCCGTATTTAAAATGGTTGACTAGAGACTGTATGAGAGCACCCCGTTTTGACCATGCTTGACTTGAGACTATTTGAGGACACCCAGGTATTAACCATGCTTAATTGGCGATTGAGGGCACCCCGTATTTAAAATGGTTGACTAGAGACTGTTTGAGGACACCCAGGTATTAGCCATGCTTAAGTGGCGATTGAGGGCACCCCGTATTTAAAATGGTTGACTAGAGACTGTTTGAGGACACCCAGGTATTAACCATGCTTAAGTGGCGATTGAGGGCACCCCGTATTTAAAATGGTTGACTAGAGACTGTTTGAGGACACCCAGGTATTAACCATGCTGAGGGCACCCCGTATATGTGTGTGCCGAGATTGTTTGATGGGTGACACTGGTTTGTTTGGCAAACATCTGATTTATTTTGCCTCTCTGATAATTGTCTGTCAGTCACCTCGATTGTATGGACCATATTGGATTACTTACAGATGGATTACTTACAGAGGGATTACTTACATAGGGATTACTTACAGAAGGATTACTTACAGTCATGTAGTTAGAATGTTGCCGAGTGTGGCGTTAAACAAACAAACAAACAGACTAGTCAAAGAAATGGTTCCCTGAACATGTCTATGTTTCGAAACATAAACAGGCAGGCAAACAAAACTTTACCATAGTTTTAAATCAATCTAATTTTTTTAAATACACACACAAAATGGAGATGCATTAACGTTATATATTGAAGAATCTCAAGGAAATCAACATTTAAAATCACAGAAAAGTATGTGTTTAACTCTAACAGAAGGAAGTGTTGGTTATTTAGGTGATTTTCCAACTGTCACATTTCAAATGACGCATTCATACCTGTACCACAATGGTTGTTATACCAAGTCCTGATCACTGCGTTATCTCACCTTGCCGAATTGGTTGAGGTCAGTCTGGGAGCCTGTAAAGTGGTGAGTGTGTCCGACCGCCGACCAGTGCACGGTAGGGTAGCAGGGGTTGGGCACCAGGTACCCGTGGGGGATATTGGCTTGGTCCTGTTCCATTGCCATGGCAACGGAAATCATCAGTAGACAGAGGTAAGGAAGCATGCTGGAGAATTCGCCGTAGTTTCGGTGAGATAAAGCTGTTTAGTGGAATGTGAGACCTAGTTGTTTTGTGGGAATATCCGTCTGTCCGTTATCAGTGACCGACCACAAAAAGACATCTGGAGTATATTATCTGTAACTCTACCATGTCAAGCTTCACAACTACTTTTTCATGACGTTTTAAACTCGATGAAGAACATACACAATTTGCATGCAACACACACAAGCCACTGCGCCAGAAGACATCTCATCAGATACTGTAGTGCAGCTGGCTTGTTACAAAACGGTGGTATTCAGATCAACTGTCTTGTCGAAAACAATGGTTTTCCAGCAAGCCAGTTCCACCAGGTTGAGGGGTTGAACGTTACTACAGGTCGGAGCTGTACTCAAACTGGTTTTTACCATGTTTGACCTGAGACTGTTTAAGGGCACCAAGGTATTAACCATGCTTAACTGGCGATTGAGGGCACTCCGTATGTACCATGTGTGTGTCGAGATTGTTTGATGGCACCCCGTATGTATCATGCTTGACTGATGGTTAGGAAGTCAGTATTGTCTAGGTAGGAGGTATTTGTCAGGTGGTTTATTGTCTGGGTGACACTAGTCTGGTTAGCAAATATCTGGTAATTGTCTGTCAGTCACCTCAAATGTGTAGACCACATTGGATTACTACAGATTACCTTTATTAACAATGAAGACGTTACAATTTACTCTAAACTAAACAACGAAACCAGTATAAAACTACTGTCAAAATTAGGAGTGAGTGAGTGAGTCGGGTTTTACGCCACTTTTAGCTTTATTCCAACAATATCACGGCGGGTGACACCAGAAATAGGCTTCACACATTGTACCCATGTGGGGAATCGAACCCGGGTCTTCGGTGTGACGAGCGAACGCTTTAACCACTAAGCTACTACACCGCCCTGCTGTCAAAAGTGGGACTCGAAATGGTAGTAGACTTTGAGTGCATACCCAAGTCTCAAATCGGAATTACATTTCAGATGTAGAAAAATCCGTGAATGAGAACAATTTATGGGTTTTCTAGTGATAGCTCACTGAGATACCATGCCGCAGTTAAGCATAAATACCCAACTCAGACACATTATACTGACTTCGAGACGACCAGTCTTTGTTGCTCTCATTTATGCCGAGCGCCAGGCACGGACCAACAAGCATCATATTTTAGTAAGACGCGTGAAAAGTCTTTTGGTATGACGCTGCCGGGGATCGAACCAGCGACCTTCCGCTCTCCGGACGGACGCTCTAACCACTACACCACAGGGGCGGCCTTAGGAACAACATGAGGCACCAGGAAGTAGACTAACTGAACTCAATTAAAACGCTTCGTAATACACTCACGTAGCATATACTTCAACTAGCGGGGCCCCATTGTTTAACCATTATAGTGTATGGCCTAGGGTTATCAAATGACACTTTATGACACATATATGATCCACGTGCAAGCCACAAGGGCTACCCCACCGCCCGGGTCTTTAATATAAGTATCTTGTGTTTTGTTCTTGTTTATATTAGAAGAACATCTTTGGCTAAACCTTCCGGCATCAATCTTTCTGTCTTGTGACCGACAGCATATTCATTCCCATAGGACTGGTGCCAGGACTAGACTACTGGCCACTGTTGGTTCGAATCCCAGATTCGCTTGCTAATGGTTCCGGACTTGTAAGCACCATACCCTTGCCTGTGGGATCCACCGATGTGTTAAACGTCTATGTCATATATCCTAGGTTAAGCTGGAAGGACGTTATTTCCTAACATTATCGTGGAAACTGTTCCAGGATGGACGGGGTAGAGGACGCTTTCCGCATAACTGGTCAGCAACTATTTTGACCGGCGTGAACGCTTCAATGAACAAGGCGTAAACTCAAGAACAGGGTTCGTCGTCATCGGATGCCGCCGCTTACCGGAGGAAACTTCGTTCCATCGAAACAGAAGAAGGCTGAAACCGAAAACACTAATACGCCGCCCCCAAGCTCCCTGTAAAAACCACCGCGCTCTACCGTCTATATCGCATACCTATTTCTCCATCTCCATCACCGCTACCGGCTGCTCCACACCATATGCCCGCTCGCCAGCCCATACCCTCCATGGTTTCGCGCTTTGCACTCCCTTTCTCGATCGTCAATGTAACTGGCGCTGACGACGTCGCTGGAATCAGATACCTTCGATTTTCGCACATTGCAGAATCTGGCACGAAATTTGCTGATTATTTGTTGCGTGGACATACGTCTATCCGCCGGATATGACGTTACCCTGGGTGCGATGCAACCGATGGTGTTTTCCCAGCTGAATCATGAAGCAACGATTTTTTGAACCATTGTGGAGCAGACGCTCGAAGATTTTGCGGCTGCGTTTGGGCGCAAAGCTAAAACCTGAATTCGAACCGATAACGAGGAAGGGTAGGGTAAAGGTATGAAGTGTTTTCCTTCAAACATAACCCTCATTGTCTTCTCCGCTATCGTCAACATCGCCTATACCGGAACAAGCTGCATTTGAGGTTTGCGTTTTGAAACCTCTCCGGTTTTTCATCGGCAAAGACCCTAACTTTAGGTTACTTTTACCGAAAATCAAACTTCTGATTTCTTACACTTATTCCACCGCTGAACTTTCGGTGACGCCAGTAAATATCGCCAGGTGTGTTTGAATAAATGAACTATAAATTCAAAATCGGTTTCTTCAAGTTCCGCGATAAACTTTCCCCGGCTTGGGTTTAGAACCCTGGGGATCTACACGCCCTTCACAAATGTTAGCCGAAGGCGCTTTTTATCGTCCATTGCTCGGCTCTGAACGCTTCATCAAAGTCCATATCATGGGGGTACGATGGTGCATCAACAAATTCGCGCAATTGAACAGGGATTCTGGCTGGAACGAAGGATGGATGATAGAATGACTGGAGGATCTATCGAAACTTCTATACCATGACGATTCGGTTGAGAACATTTCGAACTTCGGATACCGAGCGAATACGTCGATTGGTGAATACCAGAGGATAGCGAAAGTCCACGGTGTACTGAATGAACCGTTTGATGCGCTTTCCGAAAACAGGAGCAGGGACATGCGATGGTTCAAAGACAGTGGGAAAACAACGTCAGGTTTGAGAAGTGTTGGGATTCTTTGATTGACAAAGTTCGTCGTACGACTGAACAGCGCTTCGCGCTTATGAAATTTGTTTGCTTTGGAAACAAGGACTACAATATAATCAAAGCGGATATTTACAGCTTATTATTGAACTTCTGGGCTTGGCGGAATCCTCCCTCCTGGTTTTATTCTATTCAGCTTCGTTGGGGGCGACGCTGCCACCTGGATAAATACGAATCATTTTATCGCTTCGACAACGCCAGAAATTCGAAACAAAATTCACCGCCGGAAAAGAACGCAAAGAAAACTTTAATGTTGAGACAGCGGGCATGGGCGGACCAGACGTCGGTTCCTGAAACTTTAAGTTCGGGAATTCAAGATAAAATGTCCACATTCTACCAAAATGTCGATATCCTAAAGGTAAATGCCGGATTCAGGTATTCGGACGGCACCGGGACTTACTGAATCATAATGATGGGCAAATCAAAAGGAAAATATCTTCAACCGCCAGGACGCTGGTGTTGGCTTTATCAGCAAATCGACCCAGGACGTTTGGGATACCGCCGGTCAGCTCATGCCACCTTTCTGAAACGCAGAACAAAGCTCGTTGGGACGCAGCCCTTCGATATCTGCGACAACGCCAGAACCGTATAAGTTCTTCGTTATGCTTCGTTAAACACCACCGCGCATCGCGACTCGAGATTCCTGGGGCAAAGAACAAAACTTCGATATCCCATTAAAGCTCTCGCAATCGATACCGATAGAGGTGAAATTAACTTACTCCAAAGTCAGCACCTCTGGCTCCTCGAAATGTTTTCGCTGCATGATTTGGTATGCCAACTTCATTCCGTTTGGCGGTTTATTACCAACAACCAGTTAATTTCGCGGATATAACAATTCGACTACGCCAGATCGATGGCGGCGGCGGTGGTCGGGAAGCGCCGCGTGGATTTAAATTCATTAATGCTGCGGACGGTTTCTGGATAAACTACCGACTTCCGCCGAAATAGTTTGTTAAAACACCGAAAACGATCAACATGTTCTATTCGATTCAGACCGAAACAAACCCATCGCAGATCTGATTTCGAAAGGCGGATATTTGAAGGAAACACGATTGCAAGACGATTACCGAGCATTCATGCGCGAAACGATACGTGGTTTGAAGCAAACCTTCGAATCGACATTTACCACGGGCTGCCGCAATGGTACGACGCAGCGGGTAATATCTCCAAAAGGCTTCAAAGGCCCCTAACAAAATAATCTTTTCGCCCATCTTCCCCACCCCACCACCTTTATGCTCGCGCAGAACGGCGCATTTAGCGTATTCGCTGGCGTAGTTCACCAACCTGGAAGCTGATATTTCATGGCTGGAAGACTATCCCCTGCATTTCTTCCGAGCGCTTCCACCATCATAAACGGTATTCGAACTGCGTCGGCTCTTTAATTTTCGTACGTTTACGACTGGCGGTTTCAATTAATTTACAATGGCCGCTATTCATGAAAGATGTTTGACGGTACCGTTATGATATTCGGAATCAGGCAGATCGATAAAAATATCCGTCGGATAAATCGGTGATGACACCATGGGCGTCGTTGACTGGATGAATAAACCGAACGAACAAGTCAAAACCAGATCCATGGATGCCGATGTCTCCAGCACCCTCTTCGCGGTCGCCTTCGCGTTGCTGCGGTCAGCGCAGATGGAACGTTCATGGTGCCACTACAGGTCACTATTTCCGCCGAGCCACTGAATCTTCTTCGCGACCCTACATAAGTCATTATTCGCAAATTACCCACCGCCGTCTATTTCATTCCGCCTGGAATCCATTATTCCAGACGGTACTACGCAGATGCCGACGGTCAGCGGTACATGGTCGGTGTTAGCGGTACGCTCGCCGGAAGGTTAAAGCAGCCAGCGGACGCTGCAGCGGTCGTATTGTTGCGCCGTTATTTTCACGCATGGGGTCATTGACTGTTGCCGCAGATCCATGACTAAGCGGGTTTACGCTGCGCTGATCATTGCGTTAGCCGCGAACCACTGCGGAGGATAAATTCATTCCGCCGTTGCATTGCCGGATCTTTCATTTCCGGTAACCTTTCGCTGGTCCATTGCTGGTACCGCGGGGTCCGTTGTTTCGCTGTTTTACGCCGCTGGTCGTTGTTCCGGCGGTGCCACCGGCGGATCCGGTGTTCGCCCGAACACGCGGTCATTGTTATGAATCCGTGGGCCAGCGATTTCATGGGAACCATTGCATGACACTACGGTCAAAATGGTTCGTGATTTCACCGCGTTCAGTATTCCGCGGTTGCCGCGCGGAGAACCGAATTGTTCGTGTTCCATCATGATGCAGTATTCTCAAGCCTGATCGGCTTCAGATTCGAAGCAGAGCGGAATACGTACAGCGGTTGTTGGTATGATTCCGGGGTTTCGGCGCGGTAGGCTACGCTTGCTCAAACGAACTGTTCCAAAGTTGAATCCATGATCCACCACAGCAAACAGCGGCGAATATCGCGGTACTTCAAATCTTCGTCTCCGACGCCTGTCCCAATGTTCCGTCAAAGGATTCCGGTCACCAAATCTCGATTCCTTCAAGAACTCGCTTCCTGGAACTCATCTCTCCTAATTCATTCGGCATTCGAAAATACGAACTCAGCCGATTTCGCCTAGTTTCTATATACCGAGGATTTTTTTGCAAAATTTCCTCATTACATTGCGGCGTGCATTCATTTCGGGTTCCGTGCGAACGGTACAGAACAGGACGGTCGCTGGAAGGATTTTACGGCGGCGACCGGAGAACAACGATGAGCGGGCTTCAAAACCAACTGCGCCCGGCGTTCAATCGTCGAACGCAAAATAAGTGACGCCTTCCGGAACATTATCAAAACAATGCGTCGACCGGTCTCATCACGACATACCGGATCAAGTTGCAGTTGATCTTCGCGTCGACTTCCAGCATGTCAGGGGGCGACCGCAGGGATCGATTGGAAGGTCGGGAATCATACCAACGTTTGCGTGCGCATAATAATAATATATCGGTATCGACCGCGTGCTGCGTCGCCACCGGGATATCGATGAACTTCGATTGTGACCGCAAAACAATGGCTGGCTAACCGCTACGGTCAGGCGTAAAGCTGAGCTTCGCCAACTCATTTCCGCTTTTTAATCTTACCCGGCGGTCGAAACCAAGCTGGAATGGGGCTTTCGAACGGCTGGAAGCCGCCGAACGGGATGCCTTTATTCCTGTCCGTTGAAACGCCAAAAGCACGAGACCCCGATGGGTAAAATATCGAAGCAACAAACCCATATCGCCGCTCTTGAACGATCGCCAATCCGAAAACATCATGCCTGGCTGGGGTTTTGCGAATTGCATTCTAAAATAAAGGTTGGCTTGAATCCTCGACTCAGCCCGGGCACAGGTTCACTATTGCAGAGCAGAAGGAATTTGGGAAGGACAGCCAAGCGGACAACGCCGGTAACCAACTCGAATCTTCCATCCAAAGCGTTTGGAATGCAAACCGGATTTTCGCAAAATTGAAAGCAACGCGCCCTCGCCGCAGCGGCGCACCGCTTATCGCGGTTTCTTCAATTACTTCATTAACTGATTTATATCACAGTAGCATGGACGCACGAGCACGTACCGACAAACTCCCTGCGGAACCATCGCGGAAGCCCAGCTCCTCCCCTCGAACTGAAAACAAACCAACAGGGCCATTTTAATTACCGTACCCAGCAATCACCGGTCGCGCCGCCATCCATGAATTTGTAGCGGTAGCACTGGCAAAGGGATCTCGATAAAACAAAATCGCAACCACGAACAATCGGCACATCGCCTTCGCAGGATTCATGCGTGGTGCTGGAGCGTCATCATGCCAACGGTTATCCGGGTTTACCAGTAACTGGGGACGAACCCGACATTGAAGGTTAAGTCAAACTCAGTAATAGGGTTACATTACGCATCAAAATCGTACTCCGAATCGATCGTTATTCATAATAAATCACTAAAATGCGCAAAGGACCGGGACGCGGGTGTTTCGAACGACAATCACATGACGAATAAATGCTGAAAGAAAATAACCGCAGGATATTCTTACGCCGGTTTTACGGCAACACCATAGAGTGCCCGGAACTGCAAAACGGATAAGGACATCTGGATGCGGTGATTGGTCTGGCGAAATCATCACGAAATCGGTAACATTAAATAAATATTCAATGGCGTAACTCATTCTCTTTCTCGCGACCTTCTGGCGCTTCCCGTCACGGGCATCTTGCATCGAACCGAAGTTTACCTGTTCCATACATGATGGTGAACTTGGTCATCGTTGGGTATTCATATGCCGTAGAGGCCTGCAGAATCATTCTTTACCAAAATTATCATGAGTTGCATCTCGACTAATGGGCGTATGAACAATAGCGGTTCGCCATTCGGAAGAACCTATAATTCAAACACTACGACGAATGCTGTGGACACCGCGTTACGCTGCCAGTTAATATCTACCACCTAAACAATTCGCGCTTGTAGAAAACATTCGCGACGAAGGAGAACCAACGACAGCTCCAGCCAGGCGGGAGGAATTACCGGTCAAATCAGGAAAAGCTCGCTTTTAAAATACTCGACGCTGCCAGCCGTATGCGTGACTTATGGAACAGGAATCAGATGTCGAGGGATCGCTCTGGATCGCGCATTTCAATTCACCCTGGCACCATCACGCCTGGAATAGAAAGTCGATGATGATCGTTCATTGCTCTGGACATTGCTTCTCATTCCCGATTGATTTCCTTGCACGGCAATACTCCGTTGACACCATCTCAGGCTGACCGCGCTGGTATGGTGCCTCTGTGACTGTTTGGAGACCAGAAAAAAGAGTTGCCAGGATTTCGGGAAATAATAATTGCAATATCGTTAGTACGCATTACTGGCTAAAGCGTTAGAAAGCTGGAATCCATCGGTGGGATCCGCAAAATTCTCGATGAATAAAGAATATCGGGGGTGGATATCGTGAGGAATGTAAGGAAATCATCGTTAAATCAGGAATGTCGGATAGGGAATATAAAGAGATATCGGTGAAGTCGCAGAGAAATATCCATCAGAGTGAAGTTAAAGGATATCCGTTGAGTTCAGGATGATGATCAGAAGAAATATCAAGTGAGATATAAAGGATATCGGTGAGGATCGCCAAGAATATCGACAGAATCATAAAACTCATCGCGATGAACATAGAAAGTGCTCGGCGGAATATAAATCTCAAATTCCAGGATACCAGAATATCAGGTACGGATATAAAGTCATCGATGAGACAAGGCTATCGCGACAGGATTCGACGTTTTCGCCCACAAATACTGGAACTTCCTTCGTTATGGAGATTTTGCAAAACCCGTTCTTTCGAAGTGGTACAAACGTCCAAAGACTATACATTCACTTCAAGGATCCTGCATCCCTCATAACGCATTCGCTTGGTGAATTTAGTGAATTTCTACGCTGGTTCCCTTCCTGAAACCCTATAGATGCATCCGGGGTTGGAATCGGTCGCTAAACAACCTATTTAACGCAAAGAGCGACAAGCGCAGGATCGAATTGATGATTCCGCAAGACCGTTAAAACGTATCATCATCCCCAAATAAAACTCCGTATCGCAAACGCCTCCAGTACCGGCTGCATTGACTTTCGACCATTCGCGTGGCGATAGAATCAGGTTACGGCTGGAACAAAGAAAGGACAGGTAAACCATCATTTACGCCAGAACATATTCACGCCATTATTAACCGATACTGCAACCGTTCCGCTTTCATCTCCTCATCGACCTTCACCTCAACCCTCGATTTTATAGCGATACAAATTCCGTCGACGGAAAATATCATCTGATTTTGATAATGCGGCGACCAACGCAATTATGCAAAACTACAATTCGTAAAATACCATCGAATATTTCGGGATCCTCATTTCGTGAAGACGAACCTTGGATTCTAAAATGTCATTTAAGGACTCATCGTTCCAAACCAATTTTCCGCCAAAGTATAGCCATGGCCGTTAACCGTGGTGTTCAG